GCCCTTCAATCTGTAACACACACATCCCCAAGACATCGCGCAGCTCTTCCCATCGTAGACGCAAACGCACTCGGTCTGGTGGTATGGTCCAATGGTATGGAGGAGGCTCGCAGGCGTTTGGGGTGTATACGAGCTATACAGGGTCCTCTGTCCATTACTGTCTGTCCATTTCTTTTGATCATGTGTGGCATAAGATGACAGAACTTTATTATGTTTTACTAACATTAGAGATGGCATAAAAAATAAATAATAAAAGTTAATTTGCTCAGTTGCACACTAATCACATTTACCTCAGCCTCCAAAATGTCCTTAACTTGCATTTTTATATACTTAAAGGGTATATTTTCTGGTCTATATTAGAATGTAATTTCCTAATCAAAAACATACCTGGAGTTGTGTTTTGTTTGTTTTTTTTCCAAACATATTCAACACACAAATCCTTCATATATTGAGCTCTTATCTTAAATGGAAAGCACTATGTTCCACCTTCTGATGTTGTGGTCATACAGGAAGTGTTCCAATTTGTTTTTAAACTCCATACACCTTCACCAGAAACACTTGGATGATTTCAGCCCTGGAACTGCCAATCTCTACTGAACGAAAAAAGGTAGTTGTTAACTTGAGAAATACCACTACATGACATCACAAGGTGGGACAGTATTTTGAGATGTAGACAGTCTAATAATAAAGGATTACTCAAACACACATGAATGACACAAAACACAACTTTATGATGAGGTAACAACATTATAACATGGCTTAAATTTTCTCAAGAGCATATTTTAAGAGTACATTATAGGACCTTAAAACATATGTTTCCAACTATAAGCAACTGAAATATTCATAGCCAACATGCACAACCTAAGTATGGAATTAAAATGCTCTTGTCCTTAAGAGACCTGTATTTCTTATAGTTCATGTGGTGGCATCTATATATAGAAGAAAATTGTATGCTATTCCCCATGCATCTTATTAGTCATTTTATCATGTGAGAACCATTTAGACTAATTGTGGGATGAGAACCATGCGGAAGCAACTGCAGCAGACTATCTCAAACTGTTGTTTCTCAATATTGTTGCAATTAAGTGGGTGGAGATAACAGTTGGAATTTGAAACTGATTTGTGTTTTTTACTCACGGTTCAGGCCCTATTGTGTTCAAAATCTGTAAAAATGTGAAATTTCAAACCCTTTTAGATGTAATTTTGATACTTTGTAATCGCACTGTCTGTTTTACCTTTTAAATTGTGGTCAGCTTTTGTTTCAACTTCAATTGCAATTAATTAAGCCCCATGTAGGTGTGTGTGTGTGAGTGTGTGTGTGAGTGTGTGAACGCCTCGATGACCTACATTTGCAGATGCCACACATCTCCAATAGGAACACAAGAAAGGACTGTCTTTGGTTAAAATGTGTCAGGGAAATTCCTTGGTGACTCACTCGCTGGCTTGCTCTCAGCTTGTTCTAGATCAGGCTTGGTGGAGTTTTGGTAACGTCCACTGGCTCATGTGCCTGTACAAGAATAAGATCACGGGCAAGGAGAGACAAGTTTTTTCATTTGACTCCATATACTATTTGGGAAGCCTGATCTGTGTGATACTGAGTCATAGCCGTTTCATATAACTTAATATAGTAACCACACCCTCTACAGCCAGTGGTACACATTTCACCCAGCGCTGTAGGTCTGCTCCATCGCCTACAGGCTTTTTACTCCAATTGGGTCAAAGCCCATTTGAGAATTAAGAAATGATAAGAATTCACATTTCCAACAAAATGGCTTTGTTTAGAATCTACAGCCTTTGAGCCAAGAGACAAAGTGATAGAGTCTTGTATCTGTGCAGGGTTATGGCAAAATTGAGTTGGCCCCTAGATATGTCATTTTCATGCTAAAAAATAGGAATTGCATCATTCTTTGGAGTACACTAGTCAAGTGATGCAACCTGAGCTGCCGATAAGCACACATGGTATGAGTAGATGGCTGGATTAAAAACAGAATTAAATTTTTTATGTGGGCAAAATTAAAGACTCATTTATATATTTTTAATTTGACTTAGATATGTTTTTAGACATTCGTCACATCATCATCATTTTCAGTAATAATTCTGTGTTATGTCAATCTATATAATTGATCTAGATGCTTTTTTCTTTTCTTCTTTTTTTTTTTTTTTTTACAGGAAGTTGAGTCTTGTGCCATTTATAGATGACATATGACTCAACTTCCGGTGTTGGACAAATGAGAATAATCTTGAAACCACTCATAGTTGTCTGAAACTACTATTGAACGGTAATGCCTTTATAGAAGTCCAGGTTCATTATACTACTGTAGTTTGTGCAAGCAGTTCAATTAGTGTAAGACATTTTCAAACTTAAAAGTCCTATATTTCACAAAATGGACTCTTTAAGCCATATTATAATATTGTTACCTCTTCAAAAACAGCTGGAGTTGTGTTTTGTTTTATTCACACATGTTTGAGTAATCCTGCGTTATTAGTCTGTCTACATCTCCAAAGTCAGAATGCTCAGTTCCACTTTGAGATCTCATGAAGCAATAGTTTTCAAGTTAACAGCTCTTTACTTTTTATTCAGCAGATATTTGCAACTCCAGGTCAGAAATGATCCAAATGATTCTAATGAAGGTGTATGGAGTTTAAAAACATAGTGGAGCACTCCCTTTATTACCACATGACATTGCAAGGTTGTATTTTTTAATTGAGATAAGAACTCATCTTAAATATGCTGGGTTTGTGTGTTAATTTAAACATGTGTGAATGAAACTAAACACAACCAAAGGTACGTTTTTGATGAGGAAACAACATTATAACATACATCAGAAAACAGCGTAATATTGGTCTTTGAAATATGTTCAAATTAAACTTTGCAGATTTCTAACTTGTCAGAACAAGTTTGAGTAATCTCGATAAAAAAAAAATGGATTAACTTTTTATTACCTGCATTATATTGTCAGTGTTTAACTTTAACTTTTCTTTTGTTACTCTGACCCATTCAGTAATTCGTATCTAAGCATTAACCCTAAATCCCATTCAACTGTCTCACCACATGGGCCTTAATTTAAAGCAGTGTCACTAATAGGCAGACCTTCAAAAGCAGGCACCACGTCTATCTGCACACTCACTCTTTCTTCTCACATCGCCTTTGTACATAGAAACATGTGGTTTTACATAACATCCCTTTGCGCTGCTCAGTCCTCCTGGCACATGTTCGTTTTCCGGGACCAACATTTTTCATGAGTGAGGTCTTATGTGTTGAAATATTTCATTTATACCAGAGCCTTGAAGATGTGGAAGTGCAGTCGCTGAGGGCATATAACAACGTCACGAAAAGTCCAAGAATGTTGGTGACTTATTGATACTTTGCAGCTGATGTCATCAACATTCTTTAGAGGTGTCATGCTAACTGTAAGCACTGCACTGTCTGAGCCTTATTAGACTTAAATCTGAGCTTTATTTTAATACAATCTGACCAGAGGGAGCTAGCTGGAACTACAACAGGTGATTCATGTTAGACTAGTCTCTGACACATAAAATAACAATCACAAGCCACAAGTCTGCAGTTTTCCGTTCACTTTCACCTTTTTTGTTGAAAATCAAACTCCTAAAGAGGACTATAAATGCTCAGATTGATCACAAGTTCCTGAAAATGTGTTGTTTAAATCCATTTGTGTTTTTTCTTTAGTTTTTAGACTATTTTAAACCTTTTTGGCAGTGTTTGTTGATGTGTGGATTGTGTCACCATGGTAATTCTTAAACATCCCACCATTAGTGATATTTGTAGAAGACCCCACAGTGTGATGTCACTGCAAAGTATCATATAACACATATTTTGATCAGCTGGCAACAAGCCAAGGTCAGTATGCTTAATTGAGATCATTTGTTTGAATATCTGATGTAATGCATGTCCGAGGCGTGGAGGCAAAATAATATGGAAATGTTCAGTGCAAATATTTAGAATACAACATTCTGGCTGTATGATAATGTTTTATTAGACGGAGAAGAGCACAGTTGTAAGGCAGTTGTCTTTTCCAAACGAACATGTAGAGACCTTGCCCCACCAGTGCACACAGCGTCAGTGGCTTCTCGTGCATGAGTAATTGCTTAATATCTCACAGGTAGACAATTTTTCCCAAGGATCACTTTTGCCCCCCAGCCCTTATCCTCCCTGTATCAAAGCGAGCGCGCTGAATAATCTGGCTTTTTCATTTGGAACTCTGCCCCATTGCCCTCAGACAATAACCACGCACTGAGGCGGTTTGCAAATCACCTGCCAGTTAGCTGTCTTCTAGAGAGACTTCAGATTTAGACTGCTGTTTTAGTGTTGATTTGTAGGACAGTTTTTTGATAAATAGGAATATATTATTGTTCATTTGACAGGAGATTTGCTCTAACAACTCCCCCATAGAAAATGTATTATGATACAGAATATTTCACCATTTCCACCACTCTTTGGAAGGCTTCCATTTGAAGGATCCACACAAAATAAACATATGATATCACTGTGACATTACACTAACTTAAATACAAAGTAAGTGTATAATGCCATTTGTTCATGAAAAAATAAAAAATACTGTCTATTGTTTTTTGTCTGTTTTTTTTTTTTTTTATCTGTTTTTGTATAAACTGAAAAAAGGCTAAAGAATAGCAATCTTGATAAATCATAAGTGTCATGAGGCTGAAGCTATTAGCACAGTCTATCCATGGCATCTACACTGGAGTGTGAATTCAACTCAGTGACCCACACACATTCTTTGAGTGTAGACCTCTGGTGTGAATACTGGCACAGTGCCTAGTGAAGACTGCCTTACACTGTTTTCAATATAAATGTGCAGGAGAAGAATACAACAAGAAATACCTACAGCATCTGAAAGCACTGTCTTTTTCAAAGAGGGAAATATGCAGTGGATTCACCACATACTAGAAAATCTGTATTTTCATTTTTGCCAATAGATTGATTTGCTTTGGAGTGTCACATTTTTGTACATCTGTTCCAGACGCATCCCTCTTCGTCCAGCGAATTCAAAGAACAAAAGCCCCATTGTTGCCATCTGCAGAAGAAACAATGCATAGACTCTGCATATTTACTCAAGGAGTTGTTGCACTAGTCGTACCAGTGTCATACACCATCATATGGAGGCACCAGAGGTCATGCCTCAAACAGGCCTCACAGCTCCATATGTGCCCATCTTCAGTAGAAAGCAAAAGTCCTGGTAAAAGTTGAAGCCTCCTGCAGTTGGGCTGAGGTTGACTCATCCAAATTGCATCGCTCCCTGGAAATTATCATGATAATTGTATTCCTTATTCCTATTCCTGTTTCCTAATTGTAGACCTTTCACAGCACACATGCACACACTCACACACATGCACGCACATGCACACACATGCACCCACATACACACACACATGCGCACACATGCACACAGACACATTTCCACAGCGCTGACTTCTGTGATGTGGTGGGAATCTCTGAGTTTGGGCTTGGACCAGTTTTGGTGATTTGAGCCACATTCTACCACTGGCCTGGTTTGATCTGACCCCACCACAGCCTTTGCCATCTGGTTCTGCCTGGAGACCAAAGGGGTGGGGCTCAAAGGGGCAGGGCTTATTCAGTGAGGAGTTTGCCAGTGCTGATCAGGAGTTTCAATGAGGGTTTTTGTTCCAATGTGACTCACCATGCTTTAGCCACAGAGAGTGCCTGGAAGGGCAGATGGAGGCAGAATAACGACACTCAACACACATGTGGCCAAACTAATGGAGAATATAGAGTAACATTGACCCAAATACTGTTGTGGTGACTGTAGAAAAAAAAAAAAAAATGGGTTGACATGCACAGTGAGTCACATGTATCGATCTTCTCTCTGGTTTACTCATATCAAGATTACTAAAACTGTTCTTCATCTTTGTAACTATGTGACCGAGTAATGCTTTTGCCCACTGTTGGCACAAAAAATATGGGTAGTTGATGTAATGGATTTCAATATAAATACTTGGTTACATATAATTTTTATTATAACAAATCTAGAACAGTTTTAGCATAGAGAAATCATGCGCTTCACAGTCAAAATCATCGTTTATTGCTTATTATTCTCACATAGGTGATCCTAGCCACTGAGTCCACTGCATGATGCACGTGGATCATCACACAAATCCTAGCACCCCAAAAGCATATGATGTTTGAATCAAAACTGTGTACAGAATCACATGTAATTTATCACCTTTACATTGGTCCACTGTGAATCTAATAAAGTCAAAAGAGTTAAGATTTTAAAATGTTAAAACTCCATCCATGTTTTGATATTTCATGTAAGAATATATGTACAATGTTTGTTTGATTACTTACTTACTTAAAGTCTCAAATCTACTCCAGCCAACTTGTATTATACATTTAAAGAAGCATAGAAAATTCTACTTACTGAAAATGAAACTACCTACTATGTTTTTATTATGCTAACAAACAGTTATTTTCCTTGTACGCCCCACCTTTTTCCACACCAACCCTCATTGTCACATAAGTGTAAAGAAACCTCCACTCCAGGCACACCCAGGAGCTCTTGTGTGGCCCCCTCAAGTGTTCCACTGTCGCCTGATTTACCATCAATGTCTCAAAACCATCTGACCGGGCCGCGTTAACAGGTGCCTATTTTGGGACAGTGATGCCAAAACTGTCTGCTTGCAGTGGACATCGGAAAAAAAACAGGGATTGCTAAGAAGGAGTGCTTGCTACTTTAAGTGGGATCAGGGGGGGTCCACTTGTGTTGAGTGTGGGATAGAGGTATACTGCCTAAACCTCAGGGAATGCTGTGTGTAAACTGACTGGCAAAATTTGATTCTTCAGAAACTGCTAACAGCATTCTCACATTTCAGAGTGTGAGTGCATGGCTCGCTATGGTACAGATACTATGGTGCTACCGTGTCTTTTTCAATATACTCAAAAGTGTTCTTTAAAGGTCCTATATTGTGCAAATTTTTGAGCTTTTAATCATATTATAAAGTATTTACATCCTCAAAAACATATCTGGAGTGCTTTGTTTTATTTCATTCACACATTTGAGTAACCCTTTATGGTTAGTCTGTCTACATTTCCAAAGCGCAAAATGCTCTGTTCTACCTTGTGATGTCATGAAGCAGTAGTTTTCAGGTTAACAGCTCCTTTTACCTTTTATGTTCAGTAGAGATTGACAAGTCCAGGTCTGAAATTATCCATACAGTTCAAGTTAAGGAGTATGGAGTTTGAAAACTCTGTGGAGCACGTCCTGTGTTTCCACATAACACTAGAAGGTGGAACAGTATTTTCAGTTTGAGAGAAGAACTTGGCCTAAATATGCTATATAGGATTTGTGTGTTCAACATGTGTGAATGAAACAAAACACACCTTCAGGTATATTTTTGATGAGGAAACAAAATAAATAAATAAGAAAAAACATAAAAATGGAATATAGACCCTTTACGTTACTTTTTGACTGTTGTCTCGAGTTGAATTGTTTTGTATTGTCCCTGTCAAGGCCTAACATACTCAGTTTTAATCCTAGTTCAAAATCTTTACAAGTTTTAAGTTGTTTTATTAATCCTTCGATAGCCCACATTTCCAAGTCTTACTAAATGAATGGAACTGTTTGCTTAATGCTGTGTGATACAATAGTACACACAGCATTTCAATCCATTTGCACAAACTTGGAGAATGTTTTTTTTTTACATTTATTCATTTTTACTTGGGGCCATTGGCAAGAGAAGCCAGGCATTACGTTTGAACTGCACTCAGTGAAATATGCATGAGGGCCCTTTGGGAGGGAGCTTGATCAACAGGTTGAGCAGTGGAACATGCCAGCGTCAGAGCGGGGCATCTGTGTGCGCCTCTGAAACACCATCTCCCTCTGTGGGACCAGACATGTGCACGTCAGAAGAAGAGTTCAGTCACAGGGCTAAACACTGGTGTGCAGTATAAGGTCAACTAAACACTCACTTTTTAGCTGGATTTTGTAATATTCTTTAAAGGTGCATTCATTGTGTAACTTTTCTAGTGGAGGGTCTGTCAAATCATTTCTCCATGGAGATTTAATGGTTTTGTCTGGAATGTTTCACAGTATGGTATTAAACCTTCCTATCTTAATAGAGACCAAACTAGACCAAGTTACAGGTCAGATCTGTGCAGAGGTGACCCCGCTCACTGTCACTGTATTTTTCACCTATAAATCCATCTTTTAATTGAATAAATGTAAGATAGCTATTTAATGTCATTCACTGTGGAACATTCAGGGCAAAGCAATAACATCTTCATGGAGACAAGCAGGTCCCTTCACCAGAAAGGTTGCACAATGCACCTTTAAATATTTGATGTGGATTTAAAAATTGCAACAGGAAAAGTATTAAAATTGGTCTTCATGAAAACCTATTTAATTTAATAATTTTACTTTGCCTGATGGTGCTTGAAGTTCAGCTCTTTGCTTATGACTCCTGTAATTAACAAATCTAATGAAAACTTAATTGAGTAAATGTTGTGCTGCACTTTGACATGTTTGCAAACAACAAGCACTGGAACTGGAATTAATTTGGAATGTGAAAAAGCAAGAAAACATGATTAATCATTTCAATAAGACCACGGTGCAATAAAATACAACTTCTCATATGATGTTTAATTAAAGGAAACAATTAATGGTTGACCCTGGAAGAAAAATTAAAGTGTATTTTTAACGTGTGCATGTGTTGATCTTAAAAATTTTTCAAAACAGAAGTGGATGTAGTGTAGTGTGGTCTATGCAAGTTAAGCAGCAGTCTCTTGTTATTTTTGCTACTTATTTTGAATTTATTATTACCATTTATATTTTGTTTGCTCTTTGTTATTGCAATGTGTGAGCTACTGTGCCTAAATAATATCCGCTGTAGATCAGTAAAGTTTGTTTAAATCTAAGTCTAGACATAGGTCAACAAAGTAGTAATAAATTGTAAATGTAAATACTAAAATATGATGTCAACTTACACAAACAAACCTCTTTCTTTCTTGTGTTAAACTTGCTCAGAGTCAGTGTTGGGAAGGTTACTTTTAAAATGTATTCCCCTACAGATTACAGATTACATAACCCAGAATGTAGTTTGTAATGTAATCCATTAAATTACTTAAAGTGAGTAACGTAATCTGAATACTTTGGATTACTTGATTTTCTGTAGAGAAGAAAAGATAAGGATATCGTAACATAAGATGTTTTGTCTGCTAAAAGAAAATAAAAAGCCCAGACTTTACTGAACTGTATTAAAAATATTTTTGATAGAAGAAGATGAGACACGTCCACGCAGCATGATTTAGTCCTGTTTTAGTCCTGGTTTAGACCTGGTTTTAGACCTGTTTTAGACCTGATTTAGACCTGATTTAGACCTGGTTTAGACCTGGTTTAGGCCTGGTTTAGATCTGGTTTAGACCTAGTTTAGACCTGTTGTAGTCATGTTTTAGTCCTGGTTTAGTCCTGGTTTAGACCTGGTTTTAGTCCTGGTTTAATCCTGGTTTAGTCCTTGTTTAGGCCTGGTTTTAAACCTGTTTTAGACCTGTTTTAGACCTGTTTTAAACCTGCTTTAGACCTGGATTAGATCTAGTTTAGACCTGGTTTTAGTCCTGGTTTAGACCTGGTTTTAGTCCTGGTTTAGTCTTGGTTTAGTCCTGGTTTAGACCTGGTTTAGACCTGGTTTAGACCTGGTTTAGTCACTGATACAGTAACTGTAACTGAATACAGTTACTCATAATTTGTACTCTGATTACGTAACTCCGGTACATGTAATCTGTTATTCCCCAACACTGCTCAGAGTTGACTGGAAAGTGAACTAAAATGCACCAGTTTCTCCTCATACTCCTCTAATGTGTCCCTCGTGCTTGCATTGCGGTGCTGCCAGCATTGTTCACTGCAGCTGTGTATATTTATAATTGCTTAAAGCTCACAGTTTACCTCTAAAATTAAATAGTGAATGAGCTGAAGTACATGTATACGTTCTTGGTATAGACGAACAATGAGGCATAGCGTAAGGCGTGTCTGTTTGCTTATATACAGGTCATACTGGACTATAGACTGCAGTTCCTCTGAGCAGAGTGAGGGCGTGACTGGGCCTCCTGGT